GATAGCCTGTGCTCGCCGACGAAGACTGAGACAGGCCAACGAGCTGAATGTCAACCGAACCTACAGAATGTATGAGGCCATCTTTGATATTACATATCAACCGTTAGCACTTTCATACACTGTAAGTTAGTCTTCATCAAATTGTTACTGAATTGTTCGAAGAATTTGCTTTTAGGTGTTTATGATATTTATTGTTGTTAGGTTTTTACGGTGTTAGCCACCCTGAGCCTGCCTTGGCGGGGAAAGCAGGGTACAAATCCAAGCAAATAAAATAAATAAAATAAAGTTAACTCGGAAATTGCAGTGTATGGCCATTCTGAACTGTTATCAAAACAAGTTCAAGTTGAAACGCACAGGATGTCTCCGGAGCTGGGCCTTACCGCTTCACATGGCAAGCGTTGTATTTATTCGCTTGTTTCTACCCCCGCCTTTCTCCCCAATGGGAGTGGCTGACATTTTATCTTCATAACAGCCCTGCGAGGTAGGTTAGGTTGAGAGTGTCATTTAAAAGAGCTTGGCTGTATCCTGTAATCTTCCTCGAGTCTCAGCGAGAAAGGCGGGCTAGAGATGTAGTTAATGATCACAACTGTCTTTCGTGGAGACTGAATCTGAAGAAGCAACTGTAGGCTGCATTCGACTCCCACAACAGGACGGGGCTTGTCTGAATCGCGGTTTCAGCCACCAATTTCAGCCTCCCAGACAGAAACGACAAATCTCAATTTATATGTCTCCCCCAGCAGGACCAACGCCCTCTCTCAACCACCATTTGTAGCCAGGCTCTTCATGAAACTGCAGTTTGTGAATTCAGACTCCGCTACAAGCCACAGTTAATACAACCAGTGGTTAACAAACCACCTGTTAAACAAACCCTATTTTGATGTCCACCAACAAACTCTGCCTGAATTCAGACGTGTTGGGCCACCTGAACTCAGACACGACAAATAACCAAGGTTCATAAGCCACGGTACGTTGTGTGAACAGTGTTCCCTCTAAGCTAAGTTAGTGTGAGCTAACTTAAAGTTTTTTAGCCTCCAGTTCACAGATTTTTTTTTTGTCTTAGCTCAGGAAAGACGGCTCCAGAGCAAACTAACCTATGCAGTAGCCAGATCACTCACTCTCAACTTTCATGCCTGTAGCTCACAAAACAGAATTTTTGCTCACAAGACTCCACAGCTTAGAGGGAGCATGGATTGTGAAGTGTGTGGTGGGGGCAGAGGAGGGCAAGAGCCCCCAGACCGAGGAAGCCAAAAGATGGAACCCCGAACCTACCCGGGATTCTTGGATTTCAGCCAGTTCAGCAAGGCGTCCTTGTTGAAGGCTGCAGTGGCAGCCATGTTGCTCTTGTTGAGCTGGATGTTGGCGATCGTGTCTGAGTGCATGATCACTTCGATCAGCCCCGTCTTGTCTCCCGTGGAGAGGCAGCCATAAGGGGTCATCCTTTGGAGAGGAGAGAGAGTGCAAAGATGTACTGGGGTGGTACATTTGCAGCGTCACCTTCCTTGGATGTCCCACCCTTGGGAGGCGGAGCCATGATTCCCATCAATCTCGCATGTGGCCACAGTCATTCATGGATGGGGAAAGGGAAATGCACTCTGTACATGCCCAGAAGCAAACGCTTTATCAGGTAATCAAATGGTCCAGCACAGAGTTATTCAGAAGAGGGTTATATGAAAAAGCGAGCACACAAAACTCACCCTGGCATCTCACCCCTGCTTACTTACTTTGCAGATTTAAACTAAGTCTTCGCCCTGTTACTGTTCTCAAGGAGACTTCCAGTAAAGACAAAAATTATAGTAGAACAAATTCTAAACAACCCACCGTCCCATAGAAATTAAAACTAGTGGAATCGTTGCTGTTTTTAAACCAAATATTCTCATGGCAGCAGAACTGATACAGCAACAACACATAGCAGAGGATGGCACTGAAATTTTTAAAGCAGGCAATCTGACAATATCAGGTTGGTGTTTAGAACAGAGATAGACACAAGAGAAGAGAGAGAAACACAATCTGGTCAGCAGCCACATTAATATTAGGAAGATCTTCCAGGGGAAATAAACCACACATGCTAAAGGGCAGATCCACACATTAGAGAACGGAAAACCCAGGTCTGCCACTCAGTGCCACACCCCATGGGAAAGATACACCCAGACTCTTCATCACATGCATAGCTTTGGAGGTGAGGTGTGTGTTTAATTTGCAATCCGTTCAAGGGTTAGCGAAATCTACTCCTCTAGGTAGGTTGAACGGCTGGTGAACTCCTTTTTCCAGGTTAGATTTCAGCAAGGGAGGGAAGGAAAAGGAATGACAGGGTGAGGTGAGCCAAAAGCTCTCCCCGGGATACAACCAAATGTCATTGCTGAATGAAGCTGCTAGCATCAGATGGGAAAGGTTTTCCTTTGGAGCAGTGGAGGAACTAAGCTCTTCTTGGAGATCTGGTGGTCAGTCTCTCACCCCAGTAACTGGAGTCATACCTAAGGGACCACCTTTCCCCCACGTGTTCCCTGGAGAGCACTACGATCGGGGACACAAAATCGACTGGCCCTCTCGGGTCCGAGAGAAGCCAGGCTGGCTGTGACGAGGACCAGGGCCTTCTCTGTGGCTGCCCGACACTGGTGGAATGAGTTCCGAGATGACATCAGGGCGCCCTGCAAGACGGAGCTCTTCCACCAGGCCTTCGATTAGGGAGCCGCCATCAATAAATTGAGGCCCTGGCCCCAACACCGACGTCAGTATTAACATCATTATCAACAGCCTGTCCAGACTATGATGTTAGCTGATTTGAGTTAATATTGGATGCTGCTAACGCCCGCCACCAGTTATGAATTTGCACCAGCACTTTATGCCATGTTTTATAAACTTTATTGGTTTTATTGGATTCTGTGTTTTCGTTGTTTCAATATATTTTATGTAAGCCGCCCTGAGCCTGCCTCGGATACAAACTAAATAAATAAATACATATAAATAAAATGCATTTTATCACAGACCAGTTCTAAATTTATAAAGCAGACACCTTTTAAAAAGGCGACGCTCTCAGAAGTGGCTCTTTCAGGATCACATCAATGTGCATGGTAAATAATTAAACCTTCTGACTGTTATAATGTCCTTATCAGAGACTCGGTGTTTTTGGAAGATAGAGGGCTGCGGGGCAGGCCATCCCCCCCTCCCCCAAATCCCCACAACTCTTAAGTGGGCTTCTAGGCACATCACAGATTAGCAACACCCCCTTCCCCACATGCCCCCACAGTGCCTTCTTCCAACTGGGACTGGACTTGGCCCAGGGACCTGGAGGAGCTGGCCCCTTTCACAATCGGAGGCCTCACCTCAAGTCAAGGCCCTCTTTCTTCCACAAAATGTCCATCAGGTGAATCATCTGCAGGGTCAACATGTCCTGGCGAAGATCTGAAAGTTGAGGAAAACATATTATTTTTTTAAAACCATCTGTCCTGTCCTAGGGACTAGAGCACTGATGGCGGACCTTTTAGAGACCGAGTGCCCAAACTGCGACCCCAAACCCACTTATTGATCGCAAAGTGCCAACACGGCCATTTAACCTGAAGACTGAGCTTTCACTTTAGAAAAAACAACTCCTACATTAACTTAAGATGATCCAAGCAAAGTAAGGAAAGGAATCCCAAATGCTTTCATTTACTTAAAATCATTTGGCAGAGAATTCGACACTTTAATGATGGTCTGGGCCTGGCTGGGGCGATGGCACGCGTGCCCGCAGAGAGGGCTCTGAGTGCCACCTCTGGCACCCGTGCCATAGGTTCGCCACCACTGGACTAGGATGATGTATTTTTTGGTCCTCTGTCTGGCCACAGGAGGGCGCTCACAATTTCTCCTCATCCCAAGCCAGACCTCTGGTCTCTCTAGCTCAGCCTTTTCTCCTCTGACTGGCAGTGGCTTCCCAGGGTCTCGGGCAGAGAAGAACGTTTCCTAAGGACTCCTGCCTATCAGGTTGGTGTTTAGAACAGAGATAGACACAAGAGAAGAGAGAGAAACACAATCTGGTCAGCAGCCACATTAATATTAGGAAGATCTTCCAGGGGAAATAAACCACACATGCTAAAGGGCAGATCCACACATTAGAGAACGGAAAACCCAGGTCTGCCACTCAGTGCCACACCCCATGGGAAAGATACACCCAGACTCTTCATCACATGCATAGCTTTGGAGACGAGGTGTGTGTTTAGTTTGAAATCAGTTCAAGGGTTAGCGAAATCTTCTCCTCTAGGTAGGTCGAACTCCTTTTTCCAGGTTAGATTTCAGCAAGGGAGGGAAGGAAGAGGAATGACAGGGTGAGGTGAGCCAAAAGCTCTCCCCGGGATACAACCAAATGTCATTGCTGAATGAAGCTGCTAGCATCAGATGGGAAAGGTTTTCCTTTGGAGCAGTAGAGGAACTAAGCTCTTCTTGGAGATCTGGTGGTCAGTCTCTCACCCCAGTAACTGGAGTCATACTTAAGGGACCGCCTTTCCCCCACGTGTTCCCTGGAGAGCACTACGATCGGGGACACAAAATCGACTGGCCCTCTCGGGTCCGAGAGAAGCCAGGCTGGCTGTGACGAGGACCAGGGCCTTCTCTGTGGCTGCCCCACACGGGTGGAATGAGTTCCCAGATGACATCAGGGCACCCTGCAAGACGGAGCTCTTCCACCAGGCCTTCGATTAGGGAGCCGCCATCAATAAATCGAGGCCCTGGCCCCAACACCGGCATTAGTATTAACATCATTATCAACAGCCTGTCCAGACTATGATGTTAGCTGATTTGAGTTAATATTGGATGCTGCTAACGCCTGTCACCGGTTATGGATTTGCACCAGCACTTTACGCCATGTTTTATAAAGTTTATTGGTTTTATTGGATTCTGTGTTTTCGTTGTTTCAATATATTTTATGTAAGCCGCCCTGAGCCTGCCTTGGATACAAACTAACTAAATGAATACATATAAATAAAATGCATTTTATCACAGATCAGTTCTACATTTATAAAGCAGACACCTTCTTTTAAAAAGGCGACGCTCTCAGAAGTGGCTTTTTCAGGATCACATCAATGTGCATGGTAAATAATGAGATCTTCTGACTGTTATAATGTCCTTATCAGAGACTTGGGTTTTTTGGAAGATGGAGGGCTGCAGGCCACCCCCCCCCCCCAAATCCCCACAACTCTAAGTGGGCTTCTAGGCACATCACAGATTAGCAACACCCCCTTCCCCACATGCCCCCACAGTGCCTTCTTCCAACTGGGACTGGACTTGGCCCAGGGACCTGGAGGAGCTGGCCCCTTTCACAATCGGAGGCCTCACCTCAAGTCAAGGCCCTCTTTCTTCCACAAAATGTCCATCAGGTGAATCATCTGCAGGGTCAACATGTCCTGGCGAAGATCTGAAAGTTGAGGGAAACATATAATTTTTTTTAAACCATCTGTCCTGTCCTAGGGACTAGGGCAGTGATGGCGGACCTTTTAGAGACCGAGTGCCCAAACTGCGACCCAAAACCCACTTATTGATCGCAAAGTGCCAACACGGCCATTTAACCTGAATACTGAGCTTTCACTTTAGAAAAAACAACTCATACATTAACTTAAGATGATCCAAACAAAGTCAGGAAAGCAATCCCAAATGCTTTCATTTACTTAAAATCATTTGGCAGAGAATTCGACACTTTAATGATGGTCTGGGCCTGGCTGGGGCGATGGCACGCGTGCCCGCAGAGAGGGCTCTGAGTGCCACCTCTGGCACCCGTGCCATAGGTTCGCCACCACTGGACTAGGGTGATGTATTTTTTGGTCCTCTGTCTGGCCACAGGAGGGCGCTCACAATTTCTCCTCATCCCAAGCCAGACCTCTGGTCTCTCTAGCTCAGCCTTTTCTCCTCTGACTGGCAGTGGCTTCCCAGGGTCTCGGGCAGAGAAGAACGTTTCCTAAGGACTCCTGCCTCTTCGTAGAAGATTTCAGAGATCAGACATGGGACTTTCTGTATCCGAAACAAGCGCTCCACCACCGAGCCACAGCTTCGCAAAACACAGTTCCGTTTAGACTGGATTCCTTTAACTGGAGGTCCATCTACGCAGCCGCGTTATGTTCAGCCAGATCGATAAGTCTCACAGATCTTCTTCGTGGTCTCTGTGCATCACACCCATGGGATTATGTGCCTGCGCTGATCCGAACTGGTGGTATACAAAGCTCACAATGGGATTTTCGCGCCTCCCGCCCAGGCATGCACGGGAACCCCACTGCGCGTGCCCAAAGAGGCGGGGCGTGGACATCCCCGCCAGTTCTCTTCTGACCACCACGCTGTTAACAGCTTGTTTCTGCCGGTCGGTGAAGAAGTATTTGTTTCTCTCACGAGTAGGCTTCCCAAGTCCGCCGGGGGGTGGGGAACCCCCTGCCCCAGAGGCCCATTCCCTGCCGCCGCCAGATCGGGCCCCGGGGGGAACTCCTCCCGATGTGCGCGTCACCCGGAAGTGACGTGACCACTCTATGGTTTTCCCTCGTATGGCTGTGCCTGGCGTCCTCACGTCACTTCCGGGTGACGTGCATGCGGCGCAACAGATGCTGGCCGGGAGCCCTCCGCTCCCGGCGAAAATCCACTTGGCAACCCTACTCACGAGGGATTCCTAAATCTGTTTTTCTTTCTTATTTATTGTTTTTCTTTCCTCTAAAGACTTAAAAAAAATTTTTTTTGAGAGTTGCCGTTACCTCACGGCTTCCCCCCCCCCCGAGGTAAAATTTCTTCACTTCACCTGAGGGCTCCTTTCTTTTTGTGCCGTTCTGTATTTTTATGGCCAAAAAGTGGGGGTGTTTTAAACGGTGTGTTGACTGCGGCAGTAAACTTGCCCCCAGGGACAGCCACACACTTTGTATTCTCTGCCTTGGAGAAACCCATCGCCATTGCCTCAAATAAAGTCAGGAGGACTGCTGATGTCGCTGGGGAAAGGACCTGCTTCAAAATAGGGGGTGCCGAATTCCCGACGTGATTTCGACACTGTTCTCAAAACGCCCCCCCCCCACTCCTCTGTAGGGAGCCGGAAGGTCTCCTTACCGTCTCCGTTTTTGAAAATGATTCCCACGTTGGTGCCCCCTATTTCTTCGTTGTTAAAGACGATCCACAAGGGCTTCATCTTGGAATCCATGAAAGTGCAAAGGTCCACACTGGAGTCACAAAGCAAACAAACAGGCAAATGCCTGAAACAGTCGCCCTTCGTTTAAAGGAAAAAAACACCAGTTTCTAGCTCCTGTCCCCAAGACCTTGCTGATGACTGGCCAAAAGAAGAGTGCAAATCCACTGGACTTTGAAAAGGGGGATTTCTGTTACTGGAATACCCAAATCCTCCCATGAAGAAGGATTGGATTTATACCCCCACCCTTCACTACCCGAAGGAGTCTCAGAGCGGCTTACCATCTCCTTTCCCTTCCCCTCCCTGCAACAGACACCCTGTGAGGTAGGCGGGGCTGAGAGAGCTCTCCTGAGAACTGCCCTTGAGAGAACAACTCTGAGAGAACTTGTGACTGACCCAAGGTCACACCAGCAGCTGCACATGGAGGAGGAGTGGGGAATCAAACCTGGTTCTCCCACAGCATTCCTAACCACTGCACCAAATTGACACCAAACTAAGACCTGTGGCTTTCGTACATGGTAAAAATTAAGCAAAAGCATGTGTCTGTAAATCGAATGTTATTTATTCTGTGTCTGCCAGTTCCGGGCAGAAAGGTGGGAAGGGCACCCAAGCCACACATCAGACAAATCGCTAGAGGAAGAGATGATCTCCAACAGCCCCTATTTAGCCACAATAACTAACTGTAACCTTCGTGTTCAGTGACAGGGAACGCTCTCTCGGGACTGCCAGTGCAGGGGATGAGCCTTGCTTGCAGGCTGCTTGGAAGCACCTCCTAATCAATTTTGGAAACATGGAAACGTAGGGGTACACCAAGGGTCATCTAGTCTAACCCCCTGCACAGTGTAGGAAATTCACAGCTACCTCCCCCCCCACTCCTCCCAGTGACCCCAGCTCTATGCCCAGAGGAAGGCAAAAAAAAAAAAAAAAAACCCTTCCAGGTTCCGTGGGCCCATCAGGCCCATCAGCCAGGGAGGAAAATCCCTTCCTGACCTCAAAATCAGAGCACCAGCACTTTATTGTAATTTTGTATTGTTTTATTCTGTTTTTAACTGTTTTATCATGGCTTTGTGCCCTTATTGTTAGCCGTCCTGAGCCCGTTGGGGAGGGCGGGATATAAATTTGAATAATAAATAAATAATAAATGGAGATCGGTATTACCCCCGGGCGTATAAGAAACTGCCACGAGATCCAAGCACTGGCTCATTCCTTCCTGCCCTCCCTCTCACCATCTGCCTGAATTCATAGCGAGTCACAGAATCCGCATTGCTGTCAGATGGGGCCATCTAGCCTCTGCTTGAAAACCTCCCAAGGAGGAGAGCCCACTGCCACCTCCCGAGGAAGCCTGTTCCACTGGACCGCTCTCACTCTCAGGAAGTTCTTCCTCATGTTTAGCCAAAAATACCAATTTCAACCGGTTGGTTCTGGTCCGACCTTCTGGGGCAACAGAAAACAGCCCTGCTCCATCCTGAAACATGATGCTGGATGAGACGGACCTCTGCTCTAGATCCAGAAGGGCTGACCTTACCTTCGCTCCCTGTCTTCGGGAAGTCTTTCACATCCTGCACCCCCACACGTCTGTCTACTAAAATCTCAAACCTTCGTTCATAACCCTGAGAACCAGCAGCTTTTAAAAAAAACACAAAAATGGCTGATTTCCAGGATTCTAAAATCTATCCTCAGCATCCAGCTCAAGAAGAAGAGATGGGATTTATACCCCGCCCTTCACTCAGAGTCTCAGAGCAGCTTACAAACTCCTTTCCCTTCCCCACAACAGACACCCTGTGAGGCAGGTGGGGCTGAGAGAGCTCTGAGAGAAATTGCCCTTGAGAGAACTGCTCTGACAGAACTTGTGACTGACCCAAGGACACACCAGCAGCTGCATGTGGAGGAGTGGGGAATCAGACCCGGTTCTCCCAGATTAGAGTCCGCACACTTAACCACTACACCAAACTGGCTCTCTTCTAAGCCTTCACCTTTTACCCTTTCCTCACTGCTGTAAGCGAGCAAGCCCAATGTCTTAAGAAAAAATATCTGGGCAACAAAGCAACAGGTGGCCACTACCCCTGCCCCCCCCCCAATCGGAGCCACTCTGCCCGGGGTCCTTCCTGGCCACTTCAAGCAGCCTCCACCACTGCCCAAGACAACCAACCCCCCTTACCTGACTTTTGCTAGGAGGGTGCTGGGATTCAGGGGGCACTGGAGGTTGGAAAGGGCCTCCAGGTACGTCTCTTGCCGCAGACAGGTGTGCATGAACTCTTTGGTCTGGGGCTTGGGGTTCTTCTGAGCACTCGTCTTGATGATGTCGTTCAAGGCCCTCATCTTGTGGAGAGCTTCGCCCTGCAAGCCAGAGAGAGCGAGAGAGAGAGAGCGTCTTTTTTAAAAAATATCAGAGCTATCTGGTGGAAAGAGCTGTCAAGTCGCACCTGACTGACTGTGACCCTGTTGGGTTTTCAAGGCAAGAGAGGAAGAGAGGTGGTTTGCCACTGCCTGCCTCTGCGTAGCAGCCCTGAACTTCCTTGGTGGTCTCCCATTCAAGTGGATTTTACTGCGGGCTTTTCTGCATCCTCATTTTCCTTGCTTGTGCGTTCCTGTTGCTCTGGGAAGGGAAGTCTGTTCTGCAAACCCGTTGCGCCCTCTAGTGGTCAGTTCGATATTACATCGGTATATGTCCGGCCTATCTCCCTGCAGGTTTTTATGCCGGACATACAGTGGTGTTGTATCGAACTGATCACTAAAGGGAGCAGAAATGTGCGGAACAGCACATTCAAAGCAACAGAAACACCCAAGCAAAGAGAATGAGGATGCGGAAAAGCCCACAGTAAGATCCAGTTGCAAAGGGCACTGAGATTGGAAGTGCCTTATGCAGTGTGCGTGAGAAAGTGCCTGGGCTAGAACCAACCAAACACAAGAGGGGAAAATCTGCCCCACGGTACCTGCTTCATCAGGGCCTTCATGTGGTGGGTGCTGCCCCGGCAGTAAGCCTCCAGGATCAGGCCAAACCTCAAGGCGACGGAAGGGACGTGCATTTCTGATCTAAGCGGGGAAGGCGACAAAATGGAAAGTGCATCTTGAGTTTCAGGACTGCTGGGGAAGAGCCAAAGAACTGCCAAAATGAACAAGGGCTTAGGGCACCTTCCCTGGGAGGAAAAGTGAAAGACTTCACAGATCAACTGCTGGAGGACAGCCCCCTCCTCCCCAAAAACCCCTCCGCCACCAGAGCTCAAATTTTATTTGTTTATTTAAGGGATTGATAGCCCCCCCCTCCCCTGAACCACAGGGCTCGGAGCAGGTAACAACAATCATCACATGAAATTATTTTAAATTTTTGAATTGACCACTAGAGGGTGCCACCTCTCCCCAGATGAGCCCCGGAGAGCTTTACGCTCTTGCGATCAGCACCTCCTGGTGATCCCCGGCCCGAGGGACATCCGCTTAGCCTCGACCAGGGCGAGGGCTTTCTCGGCCCTTGCCCCAACCTGGTGGAACACACTCCTACCTGCAATCAGAGCCCTGCGGGACCTATTATGGTTCCGCAGAGCCTGTAGAGCGGAGCTTCTCCCCTGGGCTTTCGGCTGAGGTGTCGCACGTTCCACCATTCCGGCCTCCCCTGTTCACGGCCCCCTCCCCGGTGCCCTGCTACTTACACAACGTTTCTTGGGCACTGGAGCTTTTTATTCACCCGACTTGAGGCATGGGTCCTTTCTGTTACTGTTTATTGGGGCATTTGTTGTTTGGTGTAATGGTGAAGTGCGCGGACTCTAAGCTGGGAGAACCAGGTTTGATTCCCCACTCCTCCACTTGCAGCTGCTGGATGACCTTGGGCAAGTCATAGTTCTTTCAGCACTGCTCTCTCTAGGGCAGTTTTGGAAAGAGCTCTCTCAACCCCACCTGCCTCACAGGGTGTCTGTTGTGGGGAGGGGAAGGGAAAGGAGTTTGTAAGCCACTCTGAGACTCTGAGTGAAGGGCGGGGTATAAATGCAATCTCCTCCTCCTCCTCCTCTTCTCTTCTTTTATTGTTTAATGACCCTTGTGTTGTAAGCTGCCCTGAACCCACTTGTGGGATAGGGTGGCGTATAAATTAAATATTATAATAATAAGAAGAAAAAGAACAATAATAATAATACAGTGGCACATGAAAAGGGAGTGCAACACAGTACCCCTTATCCTGGGGGAAAGTAAAGAACATACCAATTAATAAATAAGGGAATAACAGCAAGGGGAAGGGAAAAGTTTTGCAAGGAACCCCTCTTCACAAAACTACAGTTCCCAGGTGTCCTAGCGTGGCAACCGGGTCAGCCAGTCAGGCTGGCTGAAATCCATCATGCAAACGTTTCTGTAAGATCCCCTCCTTACCTGAGATGCCAGAAGAGAAAGTGTCCTATTTTGCGATTGGACAAGGCTCTGCCCAGCAGGAACTTGGCTAATTCGCACTCCAAATAAGACTCGTACTTCAACACCTGGACCAGCTGCAGCAGGTACTGGAACAACTCGTCATCCCTGAGGAGGGAAACGAAGGAATCATTCCCCCAGCAGATACAGAACTACTGGTCACCGTTCCTGGATTTCACTGACCAACGGAGGCCCCAGCCCATACACCTTGGCAGAGAGCTGGACTCTAGAGGTGTAACTTAAGTGCAAAAAAAGCATCACAGCTATATGGATCGGGGCCACAGCACTGCGTTAAGGAGCGAGGAAGAACAACTTTGCACTAGGTATTATTGATTTGTGGCGCTCACTGACGTCGCGATGGACTTGAACTACAGTGGCTTCCAAAAGCGATTACATAAAGACACGAAGCATTACTGGTTGTGCCTGAACGGATCCTCCATGTTCAAAGGCAGTATACCTCTGAACCCCATTCACTGGGAGGGTGAACAACAGGAGAGAGACCCTGTGCCTCTGATACTGGCCTTCTGGTAAAGGTAAAGGTTTCCCCTGCTCGAAAGCCAGTCGAATCCGACTCTAGGGGTGCGGTGCTCATCTCCGTTTCAAAGCCGAAGAGCCAGCACTGTCCAGAGACGTTTCCGTGGTCATGTGGCCAGAATGACTAAACACCAAGGCGCACAGAACGCTGTTACCTTCCCACCGAAGCGGTACCTATTTATCTACTTGCAATTTCTTGCTTTCGAACTGCTAGGTTGGCAGGAGCCGGAACTAGAGACGGGAGCTCACTCCGTCATGCGGCACACTCGGGTCTCGAACTGCTGAACTACCGACCTTCTGGTCTGCAGTTCAGTGTCTTAACCGCTTGAGCCTTCTAGGGGCATCCAAATGGCTCCTGCAGGGAGTGGGATGCTGGAATAAACAAACCACTAGTCCGAACCAGCGGGGAAACTTTGGTTTCCCTTGCCATGATTCATTCATTCTCTTCTCTAGCACCAACCCCTGTTCCTGGCCATTTGCAGAACAGCACACAAGGTCTCTGTCCCCAAGCAGCCTGCAATCAAGTCTTAACAGCTATGAGATCCCAAACGTTGCATCCAGGTCTGAATTTCGCCTCCGTCCGTTCTGCTTGTCGATGACACGACAGCCTGCTCGCCCACCCCCTTCTCCCAAAGCACTCACGTCAGTTTTTTCAGGGAGTTGACAGTGAAGGTGCCCACGTAGCGGTCGGGGAAGCTGAAATCCAACAGCTCCAGGGCATTGAGGACGGGCAGCTCCGGCCAGGTTTGGAGCAAGTAGATCATCTGCAGGGAAAGGAGATAAGGGTGGGTGTGGGTGTGGCTAACACTTCCCGCAGAAAGAATGGAGGGGCAGAACCAAGCCACTCACACACTAGCTCTGAGCAGACCCTCTTAAACCAGGGCACGCAAACGCGCCCCGGTTCTTCTGGCGCAAAATCTGCAGAACTGAACAGGCCCCGCCCCTGGATCAAACCAAAACCCTGTCCCGTCCAGCCACCCAGTTTCCAGCAGCCTCTTGAATGCTTGCAAGCACCGGATCAGAGCCAACAACTCTCCTCTGTTGTTCCTCCCTAGCATCTGATACTCAGTGGTATACTGTCTCTGACTATGGAGGCTTCATTTCCCTTCCATGGCACAGAGTGTTCATAGAACAGAATCATAGAGTTGGAAGGGACCTCCAGGGTCATCTAGTCCAACCCCTTGCACAATGCAGGAAATTCACAAATACCTCCCCACACACACATACACCCAGTGACCCTGGTTCCATGCCCAGGAGATTAAAAAAAACCTCCAGGATCCCTGGCCAGATTGGCATGGAGAAAAACTGCTTCCTGACACCGAATTGGCATTTCCATGGGCGTGTAAGAAAGGGCCACAAGAACTGAGCACTGAGGCAACCCTTCCCACCCACCCTCCTCGTGATCTGCCTGAGTTCACAGAATCAGCATTGCTGTCAGATGGCCATCTAGCCTCTGCTTGAAAACCTCCGAAGAAGGAGAGCCCACCACCTCTTCAGGAAGCCTGTCCCACTAGGCCAGTTCCCAATAACTGCGTTCATTTGTCCCATCTAGTGCTAAAGCACCTGATACTCCGAGGTATACTGCCTCTGAATATGGAGGCTTCGTTTTCCTTACATGGCCCATAGCCATCGATAGGCCAGTTCCTCACAACTCTGTTCATTTGTCCCATTTGGTGCTAAAGGCACCTAATGCTGCACCCCAGCTTGGCTTTTAAAAAGCTGAAAGCGGTTTGCAATATGATTTGCCTCCCACGGTACAAATAAGGGTACTTATTTTTGATTCACAACTTTATTTGCAATGAGAGGGAGATGACCCTGTGCCCCCCGGGTGGGGATTTCTCATTCAGCCTATTGTCCCCTCTAGAAAAACAAACTCTCTTCTGTCTCCGGTTTTCGTGGGTGCCCTCTCTGTTGTACCCTGTGCCGTGAATGTGTGGCTGTCTTCTTTCCGGGATTTTCAGGATACTGAGCCAAGAGATGATGGCATTAACACAGACCCCAAACCTATTCCTCCCAAATAGAGCACTTGGGCTCAATTATGTGTTGCGCTTCTGTGAGCTATTCCCTGTCAGACCCCTGCAACGATCAGAACCAACAACTCGCTGCTTCAGAAGGAAAGTTTATCGATACAGTATTGGCAGAGCATCTCTACTTCAGGTTCTGTGTTAAGACTAAAGCAAAAAGCGCAGGGTGAACGGATATACATAGTTCAAAGGGGTCACTGGGCAGGATAGAGCCAATCAGGAGAAATGAGGGGCCCCGCCAGAATGTCACGGTCCCCCTTTCCCAGAGATGGTGGTACAGCTCGGCATCCAAGGTCAGGCACATAAAACATATCGATAAGGGAGCATCATCCAGACGACCAGAGAAATGAAAGTGAATATTCCAAGCCTCCCCCTCTCTACCAGTCACTATGGCAGCTAGCTGGCAATCTCCCCCCCCCCAAGCCTCTGGTGGCAAAGATCGACTCGAACACCTGTGAGCAACATCAAGTAGTTTTGTCTGATGGATCCTGACCAAGACACACACACACCCAATTCCTCACCTGAGCGACATCTTCGTGCTTGTTCCACTTGGTCACCAGCAGCAGCTTGGACAAGGCCCCTGGGTACTGGTCCCGGATCTGGTACCTCATCTTCCACACCAGGTCCTTCTCGTGCTCATAAAGTTCCGTGTGGGACCTGCGCTCCAAGATCTCCTTCAGCTGTTGCTTCTACCCGTGTGGGAAAGAAGAGGAAATAAAGGGGAGTGAACGAACTTGGGAACAAGGGGCAGACAGGAGGTGGCTTTTGACGAGGTGTGCCCCGCAGCAATGCCCCCTCTAAGCTGTGGAGTCTTGCGAGCAGACATTCTACTTGGTGAGCGACTGGCATTTAAGTTGTGAGTGAGCCATTTGGCTGCTGTACAAATCCGTTTGCTCTGGAGCCACCCTTCCTAAACTTAGAGGGAACACGGCCCAGCAGTATTCCCTCTGCTTTTTCCCCCCTACTGAGCGGAGCAGTTCACATCTTGAGCAGGATCTGTAGTCTTAAAGTGCAAATATTTATCCAGTGCTTCAATCTGAATGAAAAAGTTCTTTGGAAATTTTGAGAGTTCTTTGGAAATTTTGGAGCTGTCTTATCACACCAAACTAGGAAGCAGGAAGATTAAATGCACCGTGGACTAATTATGTTCAGTTGCAGTACCTGTTCCTGAAGAAGAACTGTGGAAACTGGATATTACCAGTGCCCTGTGAACAGGATCGCCTGGTCTCCACCAACATCAGACTTTATTGCTTTACTGAGAAGGACTGACTCAGACAGGAAATTTGCTGGGACTTCAAGGTGTTTTCAATATAGAACTGACACCAGAGATATATTGTATCTCTGCGAGCAGAAATTCAGATTGGAACATAAGAGACGCCAATGTTGGATCAGGCCAAAGGCCCATCCAGTCCAACACTCTGTATCACACAGTGGCCAGAAATACCAGTGCCATCAGGAGGTCCACCAGTGGGGCCAGGACATTAGAAGCCCTCCCACTGTTGACCCCCCCCCCGAAGCACCAAGAATACAGAGCATCACTTGCTCCAGAGTCCCTATCTATACCTTGTGGCTAATAGCCACTGATGGACCTCTGCTCCATATGCTTATCTAATTCCCTTTTGAAGCCGTCTATGCTTGTAGCCGCCACCACTTCCTGTGGCAGTGGATTCCATGTGTGAATCACTCTTTGGGTGAAGAAGGACTTCCTTTTATCTGTTCTAACCCGACCGCTCAGCAATTTCATGGAGTGCCCATGAGTTCTTGTATTGTGAGAAAGGGAGAAAAGTACCTCCTTCTCTACCTGCTCTTTCCCATGCATAATCTTATAAACCTCAATCATGTCTCCCCTCAGTCGTCGTTTCTCCAAGCTAAAGAGCCCTAAGCGCCTTAACCTTTCCTCATAGGGAAAGTGTTCCAACCCTTTTATCATTCGAGTTGCCCTTTTCTGCACTTTTTCCAAAGCTATAATATCCTTTTTAAGGTGTGGTGACCAGAACTGCACACAGTATTCCAAATGAGGTCGCACCATTGATTTATATAGGGGTATTATGATATTTTATTGCAGTCACACACTGTCTCGACATTTTCAGTGAGTTATCTACTACAACTCCAAGATCTCTCTCTTGATCTGTCTCTGCCAGTTCAGACCCCATCAATGTGTATTTATATTTAGGATTTTTGGCTCCAATGTGCATCACCTTGCACTTGGCCACATTGAACCCCATTTGCCATGTTGACGCCCACTTGCCCATCTTTGACAGATCCCTTTGGAGTGCCTCACAATCCTCACTGGTTTTCACCACCCTGAACAACTTCGTATCATCCGCAGATTTAGCCACTTCACTGCTTACTCCCAACTCCAAATCATTAATGAACAAGTTAAAAAGCAGTGGACCAAGTACTGATCCCTGTGGTACCCCACTGCTTACCCCCCTCCACTGGGAGAACTGCCCATTTATACTCACTCTCTGTTTTCTATTAATTAGCCAGTTTTTGATCCATAAAAGGACTTGTCCTTTTATCCCATGATTTTTGAGCTTACTTAGGAGCCTTTGATGAGGAACTTTATCAAAAGCTTTCTGGAAGTCAAGGTAAACAATATCTATTGGATCCCCCTTGTCCACATGTTTGTTCACCCCCTCAAAGAACACTAACAGGTTAGTGAGACAAGATCTTCCCTTACAGAACCCATGCTGAGTCTGCCTCTTCTGGTGGGTCTTCCTCTTTCCCTGCTGCCTTTGACATTTCCTGGCATTACTGTCTCTCCCAGTAAGTCTTGTCTTCTCGTAATGTAACCAAAATATGATCGCCTCAGTTTGGCCATGTCAGCTTCTAGGGAGAGCTCTAGGGTTAGCTTCTAGGGAGAGGTTTGACCTGGAACACTCTGATTTGTCTCTTTGGCGGTCCACAGTAGCCCTAAAACTCCCCTCCAGCACCGCTTTTCAAAGGAACCTGCTTTCTTCCTGTCGCCTTCCTTCAGTTTAGTTGAGAAGAGTTTAGGATTAGCTTTTGTTGGGGCAATAATCAAAAAGTACGGCCATTAAAATAGAAAACCCCGAAGGCCGAAATAGTAAGTCCGGCGACTACATTTTGGGGGTGGATCATTAAGCTGAAGAAAATCGACCAAGGTCTGAGATCAGGAGGCCGTTAAGAGGGTGGGATGAAACAGCTGTTCCCAAAGGGTGAAGCGATCTGCTCCCACCGTACCTCCTCTTGGTCCTCCACCATGCAACGGGGACACGGAACTTTTCTCCCCTCCTCCAGCACCTGGAACACATAAAGAACAGAACTTACAAGGAGAGCATAGGGATATACGAAGCTGCTTTATAGAAGAAGAGGAGGAGGAGGAGGAGGAAGACGAAGAGGAAGAAGAAGAGGAGAAGACTGGATTTATACCCTCCCCTTGTGTAGTGTAGTGGTTAAGTGTGTGGACTCTAATCTGGGAGAACCGGGTTTGATTCCCCACTCCTCCACTTGCACCTGCTGATGTGACCTTGGGTCAGTCACAAGCTCTGGCACAGCTGTCCTTGAAAAAGAGCAGTTTGTGTCAGAGTTCTCTCAGCCCCACCCACCTCACAGGGGTTTCTGTTGTGGGGAGGGGAAGGGAAAGGAGCTTGTAAGCCGCTCTGAGACTCCAAGTGAAGGGCGGGGTATAAATCCAGTCTCTTATCTTCTCTTCTCACTCAGAGTCTCAGAGCGGCTTACAAACGCCTTTCCCTCCCCCTCCCCACCACAGACACCCTGTGAGGTAGGTGGGGCCGAGAGAGCTCTGAGAGAACTTCTCTTGAGAGAACAGCTCTGAGAGAACTTGTGACTGACCCAGGGTCACCCAGCTGGCTGCATGGGGAGGAGGAGTGGGGGATCAAACCCGGTTCTCCCAGATTAGAGTCTACGCTCCTAACCACTACACCAAACTGGCTCCCGTGCCAGGGGTCCCCAAACCTTTTTGAGCCCGCAGGCACATTTGGAAATCTGACACAGCGAGGTGGTCTCAGCCACAAAAATGGCTGCCACCAGAGGCAAAGCCAGCCACAAAATGGCTGCCACCAGAGGCGGAGCCAGCCACAAAATGGCTGCTGCAGCTTACCTTCAGTCACACAGTGCTGTGTGCTTGTGCTGTGGTGGCTGCTTTTTCCAGGGCAACATTTTAAAAAATCCGCACAGCCAATCAAATCTCCAACGGCCAATCAGAAGCTTTGCTGGTCAAAAGCCTCACCAGCACCCTCCCACGTTCTAAAGCACTTGGCAGACACCCCATTGGGGACCACTGATTTGTACGGAGCCA